GTGTGTGTGTGTGTGTGTGTGTGTGTGTGTGTGTGTGTGTGTGTGTGTGTGTGTGTGTGTGTGTGTGTGTGTGTGTGTGTGTGTGTGTGTGTGTGTGTGTGTGTGTGTGTGTGTGTGTGTGTGTGTGTGTGTGTGTGTGTGTGTGTGTGTGTGTGTGTGTGTGTGTGTGTGTGTGTGTGTGTGTGTGTGTGTGTGTGTGTGTGTGTGTGTGTGTGTGTGTGTGTGTGTGTGTGTGTGTGTGTGTGTGTGTGTGTGTGTGTGTGTGTGTGTGTGTGTGTGTGTGTGTGTGTGTGTGTGTGTGTGTGTGTGTGTGTGTGTGTGTGTGTGTGTGTGTGTGTGTGTGTGTGTGTGTGTGTGTGTGTGTGTGTGTGTGTGTGTGTGTGTGTGTGTGTGTGTGTGTGTGTGTGTGTGTGTGTGTGTGTGTGTGTGTGTGTGTGTGTGTGTGTGTGTGTGTGTGTGTGTGTGTGTGTGTGTGTGTGTGTGTGTGTGTGTGTGTGTGTGTGTGTGTGTGTGTGTGTGTGTGTGTGTGTGTGTGTGTGTGTGTGTGTGTGAGTGTGTGTGTGTGTGTGTGTGTGTGTGTGTGTGTGTGTGTGTGTGTGTGTGTGTGTGTGTGTGTGTGTGTGTGTGTGTGTGTGTGTGTGTGTGTGTGTGTGTGTGTGTGTGTGTGTGTGTGTGTGTGTGTGTGTGTGTGTGTGTGTGTGTGTGTGTGTGTGTGTGTGTGTGTGTGTGTGTGTGTGTGTGTGTGTGTGTGTGTGTGTGTGTGTGTGTGTGTGTGTGTGTGTGGGTGCGTGCGTGCGTGCGTGCGTGTGCGTGTGCGTGTGCGTGTGCGTGTGCGTGTGCGTGCGCGTGGGCGTATGCGTGTGCGTGTGCGTGTGCGTGTGGGTGTGGGTGTCTGTCTGTCTGTATAACGCATAACCGATACACAGAAAAACACCAAATTTTAAACTTAACCTTCGTTTCAGCGTCCAATGAGCTGATTAGATTTTGGGCAGAGTCGGAACATCTGGGGGGTACTTTATGGGTGGTCATTTTTATATTTTATGGAATATATCTGTTATTTACGTTTGGAAAAGAAAATTCTTCAAATAAAAGTTACTTCTAATATAATTATCTATAATTTTTGTTTCATGCAAAATTTTCCTAAAATGTTCCGTATTCGAGAAATTTGACAAAATGTAAAAAAAATAATTTTTTATAAAAATTGTTCAAATAAAATTTGTTTGTAATATAATTCTCTATAATTTTTGTTCCATACATAATTTCTCTAAAATGGACCGTATTCGAGATATTTAAGAAAATGTGTAAATTTAGAATTTTGAAGAAAACTCAAGAACGGATAAAGAAAAAACATTAAATTTTAAAATTAAGGTTTATTTCGGCCTGACGTGAAATGATTAGATTTTGGACAAAGTCGGAACATCTGGGGGGGTACTTTATGGGAGGCCGTTTTTATATTTTATGGAATATATCTGTTATTTATGTTTGGAGAAGAAAATTGTTCAAATAAAAGTTACTTCTAATATTATTATCTATAATTTTTGTTTTATGTAAACATTTCCTGAAATGGTCCGTATTCGAGAAATTTGACAAAATGTGCAAAATTCTGATTTTTATGAAAGTTTTTGAAATAAAAGTTGTTTGCGATATCGATCTCTATAATTTTTGTTTATACATGATTTTTCTAAAATGGACCGTAATGAAAAAATTGTAGGAAATTTAAATTTTTCAGTATTTTCGTTTTTCATGAATATCTATAGAAAAATGTTTCGAGGTAGATGTATGTGGACAATGTATATATTTAGTTTATCCTCTAAACATTTATAGAGATGCTGCAATAGGTTGTACAAAATAAGCCTATAATAACTAGATAGGAAAGTCATGTGTTGGATACATCAGATTTTTTAGTATGTATGTTAAAACCGCTGTAGGTTTTATTATGAAATAAGTAAAGTATTAAAATAAGTGAGGTATTGCATAAGAATGGGATAAATGCTTTAATCTTTTTTTCAAGTACCTATCAGAATTATAATAGTAGTGTAATTAATATTAGTGTAATTAATATTTTATATGAACATTAGTATAATAATAGTGAAGTAAAGAAATTGTTCCAAATTTGCAACCCAGAGTAATCTATTGCGATTTCGAACAGGTAGCATTCAAGACAATGGAAGATTGTTTTCCAGGCGTCACTATAAATGGTTGTTTTTTTTACTTGGCCCAAAATATGAGGAAACAAGTGACTTCTATGGGACATACGATGAGAGAGTACAATGCTGATCCGCAATTCTCTCTAAATTGCAGAATGGTGATATCTTTGAAATTTGTTTCTATCGATCATTTAGATCATGTCTTTGATGTTCTAGTGGAAGACCTATCTGCCGAATATCAATCACTGTTGGACTGGCTAGAAGATATTGGACGCCTTAATAGGTATTTAATTCGTGTATTTTTATTTTAAATAATACTATTTTTATTAACAACTTTGTTTGTTTTTTGCACAAGATGAAATGCTAGACGACCAGGTTTATTCCACCCAACGATGTGGAACCTTTACCAAAGGAGTTTGGATCAGACAAACCGGACCAATAACCATATAATATATTGACAAGGGGGGGAAGCCATGTGTGAGTTGAGGTAATTTTAAGGTGAAGGGGGAGAAAAAGTCCTTTATATCTCACAAGGAAAGTCAATGTTTAATTATTTAACAAAACATTGAGTGCGACCGGTTTCGAAGTGTCATCACTTCATCTTCAGGCTCGCCTAGTGGAAAGGAGAATATGTAGTGCAAGGTGTGTTAACTTGGAGCAAACGATATATAAAATATTAAAAAAGAGAAAACTCACCATACTCTCCATCCACTAGGGAATACTACAAAACAAGTTTCATCAAATGTGGGGTGAAATAAATTGTAAAATGAACAAAGTTTACAAGTAATAAAATGTTAAAAATATTTGAAAAAACAAATATTAGTCAATTAAAATAGTAAAAATTTAAAATATTCAAGACCATACAAAACAAATCACATACATTAAACAGATTAAAAGATAAGGCTTATTTTAAACAACCTTGTTGTTTTTTCAAAAAACTAACATTTTTGAAAGGAGACCTGTCAAGTTAAGGACTCTACAGGTGGTGGCAAGTATTAACAAAAAAAATTCTTGGGTAAACCCATGACAGGGTATAGGTAATAAGATGTAAACCATGCGTGAAGAAATATAATAAATAATAAATATTTCTTCACTCATGGTTTACATCTTATTACCTATACCCTGTCATGGGTTTACCCAAGAATTTTTTTTTGTTAATACTTGCCACCACCTGTAGAGGCCTTAACTTGACAGGTCTCCTTTCAAAAATGTTAGTTTTTTTAAAAAACAACAAGGTTGTTTAAAATAAGCCTTATCTTTTAATCTGTTTAATGTATGTGATTTGTTTTGTATGGTCTTGAATATTTTAAATTTTTACTATTTTAATTGACTAATATTTGTTTTTTCAAATATTTTTAACTTTTTATTACTTGTAAACTTTGTTCATTTTACAATTTATTTCACCCCACATTTGATGAAACTTGTTTTGTAGTATTCCCTAGTGGATGGAGAGTATGGTGAGTTTTCTCTTTTTTAATATTTTATATATCGTTTGCTCCAAGTTAACACACCTTACACCACATTCTCCTTTCCACTAGGCGAGCCTGAAGATGAAGTGATGACACTTCGAAACCGGTCGCACTCAATGTTTTATTAAATAATTAAACATTGACTTTCCTTGTGAGATATAAAGGACTTTTTCTCCCCCTTCACCTTAAAAATTATATTGTTAAGTTTGCCAAAACTTTCAACGCCGAAATAGCCAACGTCGAAATGGCCAGCGCCGAAATGGCCGACGTCCAAACGACCACGCCAAAACGGCCACGCCGAAACGTCCCATTCCCAGATTAAATAGGTAACAAATAGAAGATTTTGATTTCTCTCAATAATCTCTTACGTTCCCTTAAAACAGACCTGCACAACATATGACCCGCGAGCCGCATGCGGCCCACCATTGTCGTTTTCTTGGCCCTTTGTCCTTTGACCATTTTGGCCCGCCTACGTCAAACTATACATTTTTCAGTATCAAAATTGCATTTAGGTATTAATTGCCTTTTTTAGGAGCTCGATAGAAGCATCTGGTTCATTATAAGCTGATGACCTTTTTTCTCAGAAGCTTCACAGCAGGAGTTGGTTTATAAATTATAAGCTGACGACCTTTTTTTTTAGAAACTCGACAGAAACTTGTTTTATAAAATTATAAGGAAAATTATAAGGTGATGACCTTTTTTTTTGAAGCTCGACAAAAGGACTTGGTTCATAAAATTATAAAAAGAGGACATTTTTTAACTGGCCCTTTATTTTTTTTAACTGGCCCTTTGAAAATCTCAGTTGTGCAGGCCTGCCTTAAAACAACATCACTGAAAGACTTGGCAACTTTATATGCTAGCTGGGTATTCCTAGCAGATAATCTCAATGTTTTTGTTTTAATTATAGTTATATCTATATAAAATAGATGATAGTTTGATATTGATGACATGTACTTATGAATTAAAATAAAAAAACTTTAAAACAATATTTTATTTCTTCACATCAAGAATAGTAATTTTTTATTACAGTTCCTACCTTATTTAATAAATAACATGTTTGGGTAATTTTCTGGATAGTAATTGTGTCATCCCACAACTTCCCGAAGGCGAGACGCCACTGAGCGTCGCATCGCGACGTCGCCGTCCCTCGTTTGTTTGCGTCCAGGAATCAAGTTGGTCCCGACTCAGTTGGATGCTGTGTCTGTGTCTGTTACCGACTGTAATCATCTCGCAGAAGACTTTTTTCACGATAAATCGTCCCGTCTTACAAGTGCAGTATGAATTTAAATGAGGACATAAAAGTGATGTACCGACACGAATTGTTCGATTAAAGTTTGCCAAAAAATCGATTGATTGGATATACGAAGAGTGATATTATGAGAAAATGAAGCTTAATTACTGGTGTATACTGTTGTTCATTATATTTTTCTCTAACGAAGGTAAGAAAAACTAGTTTTTAGGTTATACATTTATGATATAAAACTGCCTAATAGGTATATAGATTACGTCAATTAATATGGTATTTATGTTATTTAACGTAAAAAATATGTAATTTCTTCACAATTTCATCAGTTAGGGGAGACCGAGGCTAGTTGACACAATTTTTACAATATACGGGGTGGTGTATCCTATACGTCGGTTTCGGTAGGGAAAACAGCTAAGCATCATTTTCTACATATTTATCTTAACTGGGATATACCAGGCCATTTATTAAAAATAATTTGGATTATACAGGGTGATCCAAAAATAAGAAATATCAAACTTATATTTTTTAAATAGAAAAACCTATAATTTGATGGTGTCTTTTGATTCCACGGAAAAAATTAAGCAAAATGTCTGTAATCCTACACCTATTTCTTTTCGTTTTTGAAAGTTTTACTGGATTCTTAATTTGTAAGCTTGAACAACATAACCTCTAGTATGTCGTGGTTATTTAAAACACATTAACAGTCATCTGCGATATGCGTAGCCAAGAATAATCGAATAAAATGTAATTTTTTATAATATTATACAGGGTGCTCATTTAGTCTAATTGAATTCGGCTTACACATGGGTTGAATATTATTCTTCCCAGATAATATTCTTAGCATATTCTTAGTATATACTTTTAAGATTATGCATATGCTGAGAATATACTTTATTTGCTTTTAGTACATTCTCAGAATATACTAAGCATATGTTACGTGCTATATTTATTTATTCCAGAAACAAACAGGCATGAGCCTAATTACATGTTCCTATAAATACAACGAAAATAGAAATCAACAAAAATACATAATATCTAATTAAATATATAAGTGAAATTATAATAAACAAACCTCGCTACTACAAAATTTTAACAAAGTTTATTAAAGAACAAAACTACTGAAATAATCAGAAATATTCAGGCATAATCAGAGCGTCTGCAGAACCCCACACCAAGGCCACGGAAATTCTACAAGGTTATGTCTCTTTAATCGAGCCCAACAATTTTGTTAAGTTCTTTCTATATGTGCTTATAGCTACATCAAAAATACCGCAAGAAATGCCTTCGGAGTGTACATTAAACAAAAGACAAATTTTTTCTACTGGACCATGATTATCCGCACGAAAAGTTAATTGACGGGGACGAATACCTGCTATTGGAACATTGATTTTTATTTGACTCAATAAATATTGACTGTCCAAATATCCATTTAATAATTTATGTAAAAAGACAAGGTTGATTATAGAGCGTCTATGTTCCAATTTTTCAATTTCAAACTCTTTTCTAATAGGTCCAAATGAAACAAATCCTGGACTTGTATGATACTTTTTAAAGTATAAATATTTGACAAATTTATTTTGAATAGTTTCCAAAATTTGTTTTAAATTTTGTTGTGTAGGGTCCCATACAGTGGATGCATATTCTAATTTACTACGAACGAGAGCAAAAAATACATTTTTAATTGAGTGTGTGTCTGTAAAGTCCCTAGTCGTGCGTTTCAAAAAACCTAACAATTTGTTAGCTTCTTTGGTAATGTTATGGATATGCTCGTCAAATTTGAAATTATTTTGAAAAACTATTCCAAAGTCGGTTATTTTTGACACTCTTTCTAGTGTTGATCCTTGCATTGTGTAGATAAAATTTTGAGGATTACGAATATTACTGAATGTAATAACCTTGTATTTGGAAAGATTAAAATGTAATTTATTTTCAAATGACCAATTCGAAATTGAGTCTAAGTCATTTTGAAGGTCTAGATAGTCATCTAGGGTGGATATTTTCTTAAAAACTTTCAGATCATCTGCATACATTAGGCAGTCTGATGTAATACGTAGAGGAAGGTCATTAACAAATATTAAGAAAAGTAGAGGGCCCAAATTGGAGCCCTGAGGGACCCCCGAGCCTGCAAGGATTGTATGAGATACCTCACCACTAAACATTACGTATTGATACCTTAGTTTTAGATAAGATATAAAGAAATTTATTAGATGATCGCTAAGACCATAATATTTCAGTTTAGCTAGAAGAATATTGTGATTTACCTTATCGAAGGCTTTCTTAAAATCAGTATAAATACAATCTACTTGCTCACGAGAATTGACATATTTTGATATTTTATCACTGAAAGTTAATAAATTTGTATCTAAAGATTTTTTACGACAAAATCCGTGTTGTTCGGTTGATATGTATTTTTGAAAGTAAGCATACAGTTTATCATATATTACAAATTCAAACAGTTTCGCCGTACAATTTAATATGGCTATGGGACGATAATTATCTATTTTATTTTTATCCCCTTTTTTAAAAATTGGTGTTAATCTCGTTCTTTTAAATTCACTAGGAAATATGGATGTTTGAAGCGACTTATTGAAAATTACCAGCAAAGGGTATATTAAATAATCTTTACAAGCTTTTAGGATATAACAAGGAATATTATCAGGACCCGCTGTCTTTTTCGGTTTTAACTTTCGAAATGCCGCTTCTGTCTTTGACGGATATTAGATCGAAGTCAATATTCTGATAAAAATTTACGTTCCAATTGTTAGTCAAACCATTAATATCTATAAGGTTATAGTTTGAATCGTTGTCATACACTGAACTGAAATAATCAGCGAACTCCCCTGCTATAATTTTTTTGTCAGATATTTCCCTATTATTTATAATAAAATTTGATTCAGATATATTGTTAGACCTCTTATCTTTAATGAAGTTCCAAAAAAGCATAAGTCCTGGTTAACACAGTTCTGCATATTTTGGATATAATTATTGTGCGCCGTCCTTATTTTCAATTTTAGGTCCGCCCTAATTTTTTTATATCTACTACAATAATATTCCGATAGATGTTTTCTTTTTCTGAAAAATTCTTTGTACTTTATGTCGATTTTTATTTCATCCGTGAACCATGGCGGAAACTGTTTGCAATATGCATGTGGCCTATTAGTAAACTTTGGTACACATATGTCAAGCATTTCATAAAAAACCTGGTAAAAATATTTGACAGAATCATCAACCTTTTCAATGTGTCCAATTTTGGACCAATTAAAATCCCTTAGTAGATATGCAGATACTGAGAATGTACTTCAAGTATGTGTTCAATATGCAAAAAGTATCTATTTTAATTTGATAGTACGTTCTAAGTATATGCTAAGTATTTAAATATAGCAAACGCTAGACATACCAATAAAAACTCCCAGGCTGGATATTTTGGTAAGTAATGGAGGTATTTTATTTCTGTAAAAACCAGTTCATAGAGCGCTAAAAGAGCTTCAGTTTTAGATATTAATTAATTTTAAATAGGTCAATAGGTAGATAACGCATCTTGTAAAAAATGCATTTTCAAGCAGATTTTGTTCTATAAACTAATTCGATAAATCTAGCGATTTTTGATATACAGAGTGGGTCACTCAAAATAGTTTCATCCTGTTTTCCGGCAATTTTATTTGGATTTTTAAAAAATGCTAAAACAAGTCGATTTTTATTCCCAATTTAACACATTTTTACAATACAGACATCTGTCATGCGTCAACTCCCTCCCTTCTACTTCTGCAACCCCTTAATTTTAAATAATGAATGTTTCATGTACGGAACATCATTAAAAGTTACTTTAATGGGGAAGTTAGAAATATGACAGTTTATTGCGATATTTTTAATTTTAGCGCCCTCTATCGGGATAAAACACCTGTAATATATTATAAAGTGTGACATTCATTTGAAAGCTAATTTAATTACTAATTCAATGCACCACATAACATTAATATAAATATTTCCACATTGCACTTACAACAAAATAAAGTTAGCAATAATGTTTAAAATAATGCATGAATAATTTTCAAACTATTGCAAGTGCAATATGGAGGATATTTATATTATTTTTTTTTATTACGAATTCTTTCTTTGGCCTTAATCAACCAATATTTTATTGTATCAATGGCTTGAGTTTTATTTGATTGATTCCATTGGATCTTCATTGAAAAAATCAACAAACTTGGTACATATACAAATTAAGTGTACATAGGCTAAACGAATATTTTAAATATTTTTGTCGAACGTAAGACATTAAAAATTGTACATGACATTGAGTTGCATAAATGGTTATTATGTTTAGTGAAAATTTAAATATATTTGTTAATTACTTACCACCATTTTGTAGTTTTCGTCCTCCTTTAGCTAATTTTATAGTTCTTCCAGGTCAATTTCTGGCCTTGCAGGATTTTTTTCATAGAAAGCGTGTATGTAATTCTGGTAATACTGTATTCTACTTTCAATCTGCCATTACTATTAACCATAATGATAAATTCACACTGGCAATTAATATTTGGGATATCCTATGTTCTAACATCACTTCTAAGTCTTAAAAACTACAAATATAGAAATTTACCTATTACAAACTGAAACGAGATTAAAAAAATTTGTAGGGGTTGTAGATTGTTATTCTTCTTCTTCTTCTCTTTTATTAAGGTTGTGAATGTTTTTTTGGCCTGAACACTGAACATTAGTGCGTGTGCTAGCAAATTATCAGATCGGCATATTGGAAAAATTCATATAGATATGTATATAAAATAATATAAATATATTTTTACATGTATTTGGTGTTAATTTTTACCTGCAAGCATGGCGAGGTTGGTTGTAGTTTAGCCATTGCTTCGTAGCTTAGATTGCTTGCTTGTTTGCTTGTCCGCTTGTAGGTAACTCTTTCTGTATGCCAATGGAGAAATGCAATCATCGAGTGTCTGCCTCCTCGTGGCACCGCTGGATACGTTAATATTGTTGCTCTATGAACAGCACTATTAACTAAATGGCACTCCATCAATACCCCAAGCCAAGGTGTAAGGCAACGTGCCGAAGGCTGAATGGCCGCTGGAAAAGCGGTTTCGAACGTTCCTCTGAGGGCACCTGGCGAAACCCTCTTGTATCCAGCCTTGCCGGCGCATGTGGGGCTCTGCGTCGGTCGACTTTTCTTTCCCTAGCTGTTCG